TATAGAGGTGAAGGGGGAGCAACCATTCAAAACATTTGAGTGAATGGTGAAGATCTTCCAGATATATTCTTTGTTTTGAATATTGGTTCCATTTTGTTTCTTTGTTTCCTTAATAAAGAGAAAATGCCTGATATCAAACTATTTTTCTTCTAAAGAAATCAAAACCTTTGCAAGCACATCTACTCTGATAGCAAAGCATTTTGTTATGTATGCGTTATGAATTTATTTCATGGAGGAGAACAACTGAATGAGAAGCATCCATGGAAGGACTGATTTAAACGTTCTAAATCCCTGAATTTTTCATCTCCCTTTGAACGGGATGCCAAAGGGGATTACAGATAAAGACATATCACAACCAAATTTACATTACTAAAATTACTGTAATCAAGAGTCTTTTCTAGCCTTAATCAGGATTAGAGAAAACAAAACAGAGTTTACTGTACAATACTAATCAAAATTCTCCCAGACAACAGAGTAATAGCAGTACTGAAAATCAGAGATATGGCGTGGTGCATTCTAGTATCCTTTCAAAATCTTTCCCTTCGAGATGTGAGCAGTGCTTGCTCTGCTGATGGTTCGTACGGTAGGCAACAAGCACAAGTAAAAATCATGCTGCAAAGTTTCAATAACACTGCAGTATCAAATCTTCAGGAGCACGCACAGGAAACACTTGTTTGAATGCATCTCCTGAATTGCAAGCACAGTAATTTGAGTGGTAACAAAGCGGAAGGAAAGCTGCTGTCCAGAGCTCAGCCTTCCATCGTGCACTGCAGCTCTTCTGCTCCTGTGCTGGCAGTAAGCAGGCTTGCTGACGAGCTGTGGAGGCTTTTAAGTGTAGTCTTTATCCACCGTGCCCTATGCTTTTCAGTTCTGCTGCAAGGCTAATGCGGTAAAGGGATCAAGCTTGCACAGATTTTCCTGGTCCGGTGGAGCCTCTTACAGAGGGCAGCGTTGTGCTGGTTTCAGAAAGCACCACTGAGCTCTGGAGCATCAGGTCCTATCTTATTTTCACTAACATCACCAGAAATATCACCAATTAGTAACACAGCAGCAGAATTGGACCCTGCATTTGTTTCATTCCTGTAATGTGCCAACTTCTTTTTTGAAGTGGAAAAAAAATAGAAAAGTAGATGTAAAGAACGACCCTGCAAATGATCTGAGAATAATGATCAATTGCTTCCTAAAGCCTGGGAAATGAGATCAGCAAAGCAACAACACAGATATTATGATGGCCCATCAGAAAAACAGCACAAGGACTGAAGAGCAAGGAAAACTGCAGGATTCCCATGGCTTCTTCCTGGAAACAACTGGTTTAACTGTTTGCTGGTACCTGAGGAAGGCAGGTGCAGCATCCTTAAACCTGTTGCTTTGCAGTATATGGTTCAACAACATTTTATCTCGCAAGCTCAAGACATCATCAGATTGTTAATGCCAAACCTGGGCTGATGGGGGCAAACTGACAGCAGCTTCCAAGTTCCTCTTACTAATGTTACACTGGTTGATGAAACTTTTGTTGTGGTCGGTGACTGGAAGAACTAGAGAAGCAACAAGCAGGTGGGCAGCATCTCCTCTTTCCATCTCTTCCTAATGAGACTGAATCTGGCTGTTTTTGGAATTTAAAGAAAAACTGAGTGAAGTTAGAAAACAATATATTATCTTTAATTAAAGTTGGCAATGTCTTTTTCTGTCAAGTATGAACATACAGGATAACAGGTAGATTAGAACACATGATCTGTATTTCAGTTCCATCCGAGCACACGCCGTAAGTCCTTTATAAAAAGCAAGCAGGAATCTTAACAAGGACGTGAGAGCAGAAAAAGAGATTTCAGCATTTTGAAGTCCTTCCTTTATATTCTCTGAAACACTAGCCGAAAAAATAGACATAAAACCTTCCGTGGAACACAATATATATATATATATTTATTTTTTTTTTGTTTTCATATGCCAGTGGGGAAAAACCAACTGAGAAGTAAGTCGTGGGATCTCCTCACCATAACCACGCACACCTGCAGGGTTAACAGTGATGCTTCACACACACAAATGCAACAGCCAGAAGCCTGGCTTACCTGGCATTCATTTAGCAGCAGTATTAGCAGCAGCCCAACACAAAGCGTGCATCACGTCCAACTAGATGCCTTCTTGTCAGCAGGAAACACAGAGGGCTCTGTATGGGTTCCAGCTCTGCATAAGAGTGAAAATTCTGCAAGCCCACAGCGGCTGGAAACAACTCCCAGAAGTGAACTTTCACAGTGAGCTGGAAGGCAGTCAGCTGCAGTTCAGCAGTACTTTGTTGCAGGCAGGACTATGAACGAGTTTCCTTCCATTTTGAAATTAATTACTCTTTAAATTAGATGTTCATAATTATTTACGAGTTTCTGTAGTATTGCTTTGATAATTTCTACATTCCTGTTTTCAATAGCTTGCCTTTAACAGTACTTACTCGAGCTTTCTGTTTTTTTTCCCTATTAAAGCTTTCTTAAATAAAAGCTTTAACTTCTGCATTTGAAATTAATTAATCACTTAATTCAAAGTGGGTTCTCAAAGAGCCTTCATAATATTTCAAGGACCCTCTGAAGGTTGATTTTAGGATTCCAGGTAGATATGGCAATATAAGCAGGCTTTTTTTCTCAAGGAAATTGCAGAAGTTAATCACTGTACTAAAAATGATTGTTCCAAAAATAACTGTAAGACTATGAAGACTTTTCTCAGCTCGGAAATTACAATGAGACACTTCTCAATATAATTAGCTGAGAAAAAAAGCAATTATAAATTCCGTTGTTACAATTTTTTCACCAAAACAAACTCATTTAATATGAAGCTGTTGAATATTTCATACTCCAACTATTTCAGTTTTGGTGAGAACTGAGCAATTCAACCACTTGCCATTTAAATATTCACAACTGTTCAATTTTCAACGATTTTAAACAGAATTAATGAACGTCTAGATAAAGATCATGATTCCCTCCTCCAAATAGTTTCTGACAACAACTCAGCCTGCAAAATATCGAATGACTGTTGCTGATTTGCAGCTTCCAGTCATTTGTGCTTCAGTATTGGCTCTGGTTGACTTTCACTTCATCAGATGCCTTTTTAAGAACAATTTCAAGAATTTCTGAACGAGGTACAACAGATAAACTTTCCTGTTAAAAAAGAGGAAGGTACAAGAATGGAAATAAGCAAGATCTAATCTCAAATACGCGTTTGTGAATGAAGCTGAATCACACATTCATTTTCCAAAACAAAAAGTCTTTTGGATAGGTATTAATTAAAACGAAGTGCCACGGACAAGTGGCTTGAGAGGGACGGCAGTCCTTTTCAAATTAGCATAACACTAACGACAGCCATGGAAATTGGTTTAATAACCCTAAATAGTTACACCCCACTCCTAACACAAATGGCCATGGACAGCTCGAGCCCCTCAGGCTGCAACTGTACCAGTTTATGTGCTTGCTCTGACACAGGGCGGGTATTCCGATCTGAACAGAAATCACTGAATGTACTTCAATTATGATTATATAATCATTAGTGAAGCACACAAGGCACCAAAGCATTAAATATAATAAAACAAAACCAAAGTAAACCAGCACAGCGACATTAAAAACTTGGCCAGCAAAGTACCCACTTGGTAACTTGCACTAACACAGTCAATACTTGGCAAGATTATTCATTAATTGTGACATTAAGTGGCCCAAACCACACGCAGGTCTAGGATCAAGCTGCAAACATAACAGAAGACCAAGCCAAAGGGATGAGCAGAATCTTTTAGCAACTTCCTTCCCTGCCACGTTTCACATGAGAATCCTGGGAGCTACGTTCTGTGCTAGAGCAGCCCCTTCTAAACACAGCTCCACTGCTGGGGGCAAGGCATTCTCCAGCAAGAGCTGAAATACACAACTTAAATCTGACATACTTACAGGCTGCTTAACTGTAAATGTCAGGTGTGAGCACCTTTTGGGTGCTTGGGATTCATGAAACAAATTGCAGAGAAATCCCAAATCCCTGCTGATAAGGAGCTGAATGTCCAAAAGGTTTTCAAAGTACGATTGTTCACCTAACTTCACACTGGTACCCTGTGAAGCACTGCTGCAGCATCTCTTTAACTGACTTCAGCAGGGGCTGTGCTCCGACTACCAGCTGGCTTTAGAGACATGTAGGACAGAGAAAACAGTTATTCATGTCTTTTATTTATTATAAATACATATAAATATGTTAAGTGACTTTTTTGTTTGTTTATCATGATGAGCAAAGGCTTTGGAAAACCTGGAAAACTTAACCACGCTGAGAAACAGGCAAAAAGCAGGCATTAGCATACAATCAAGACTTCCCTCAGTTCAAGAATTTCTTTTTTTTAAAGCACAAGACTGCATCTTATTTTGAAGCATCTATAATTTTATCAGGGGCACCAAGCTTCCTCCTTCCCACAAGCCAAGCAAACGACATTTGCACTGGGATTCGTGGGCGCAGTCAAACCCCATCTGGCTACATAGGAACCCCTCTAGTTTACGTGCCATTCTGAAACATTGCATAGCTTTGGGGCTGGGTTTTGTTTCTTCTAAGCTGTTTCGAACCCAGATCAACTATGGCCCCCAAAAAATCCCACTGAGGTTTCCACCTCCAGATCTTCCCCCCTCTCCGTGTTTCTGGAGTTCAGTTTAAGAACTGCTCAAGAACTTCACAAGCAGAAATGTTATGTGCACAGTCCACTAACAGCGCGGGAAGGAAACGACTCTATGGATGAAGCTGCACAGGGGGAGAACTAAACGGAGTTAGTAACGAGTGTGCTTTTTGGGTCGGTGTAATGGCCAAATGTTTCCAATATGAGGTCCAGGGGGAAGTATACGAGAAATGAACAAAACAAAAAAAAAAAAGAAAACCCAGACTTAACTGATGGTAGGAAGCCGGGGCTGATGGTGGTGGGAAAAAAGCACGGAAGAAAAAAAAAAAAAAGAAAAAAAAAAAAAGGAAAAATAAACCGAGAAGAAGCCCGGAGAAGGCAGAAGTCAAGGCTTGTCGCTGCAGTGTTTGCAGAGTGCAGAGGCGGCTCCTGTGAAGGCAGTGCATTTCTCGGGGCAGCCGGGCAAGGCCGTGCCGGTGAAGGGATACACGGCCGTCTGTCCGAAGGGGTTGAGGGTGGCGGGCAGCGGGGCGCTGAGGGCCTGGCCCTGGTTCAGGTAGGCCACCAACCGCCGCATCTCCTCCAGAGCCTGCGCCTGCATGAGGATGTAGTTCTTGGCCAGCAGCAGGGTGGCGATTTTGGAGAGTTTCCTCACCGAGGGGCTGTGGGCGTACGGGATGACGGAACGCAGCCCGTCCAGCGCGTCGTTCAGGTCGTGCATCCGCCGCCGCTCCCGCGCGTTGATGCTGAGGCGCAGCGAGCGCTGCTCCTTGGGCTTCTTGCCCAGCGCCGCTGCCTTCAGCTTGCCCTCCCTCTCGAAGGCCGCGCCGCCCTTCACCCCGGCCTCGAAGCCGTCCTCCTCGTCGCCGCTCTGCTCGCCGCTGCTCTCCGCCGACTTGCCCAGCGCCCCGGGGTGGAAGTCCGCCCCGCCGCCCCCCGCGTAGGCGCCCCGCGGGCCCTCGGCGCCGCCGTAAGCGAAAGCCGACGGGCCGTAGCCCGGGGCCAGCGCCAGGTACGCCTCGCCGCCCAGCGACTTGAGTTCGGCCATCGCCGCCGCCTCAGCGCCGAAAAGAACCGACAGCAGGCGGCCCCGCCGCTCCGCGCTGAGGGCGGGCAGTGAGGCGACGGCGGCCCCGCCGCCCTTTTATATAGCGGAGAGCGGCCCGGCGGGATTCCCCCGCCGTCCAATCAGAGGGCAGCGAGGGGCGGCGGGCAGCGCCCCGCTGCGGGCACCGAGCGCCCCGCGGCCGCCAGCCCTGAGGCGGCGCCGCCTGAGGCAGCGCGGGACGGGGCGGCTGTGGGTGGAGGGCGGGTGCGCGCAGGAGTGCGTGCTGTAGTGGCACTGCGCCGTTCCCCTGACACAAATCGTGACAGCGGAGCTCACACGCGGGGTACATAGCTGAGAAAGCAGCTCCAGCCCCGCGCTCGTGCTACTCCAAGGACTGCACTCAACTGTGTGGCTGTAAGGGAGTCTGTACTTCACAGAATGGCCAGGATTAGAAAGGGCCTCAAGGATCATGAATCTCCAACCCCCCTGCCACATGTAGGGCCACCAACCTTCACATTTAATAGTAGACCAGGCTGCCCAGGGCCCCATCCAACCTGTCCTTGAACACCTCCAGGGACGGGGCATCCACAGCACCTCACCACTCTCATAGTAAAGAACTTCCCTCTGACATCCAAACTAAATATTTCCTCCATCAACTTAAAAGCATTCCCCCTTGTCCTGCAGTTATCTACCCTTTCAAAGAGTTGGTAAGTGGAGTGTTATCAAAGAGTTGCTAAGTGGAATGTTATCAAAGAGTTGATAAGTGTACTTGTGGAGATGGGGGTCCTCCCGCAGCCGGGACGGCCTGGGCTGAAAAACCGGGGTTAAAAAAGGCAGTGAAAAATGAGTGGGAACAGAAATAGTGTCATGGTCATGGAAAACCAGACAAGTGAACACCACCTCATCCTCACACTTGGGACCACCAGTCACTAAGTGGTACGTGTTGCATTGGAGGCAGTTCTGCAAGGTCTTGACAGCGGTGGGCATGGCATGCTGGTCTGGTGGCTCTGATGTGGGCGAGGATGACAGAGGAGGCACCTGATGTGGAGAGAGGTTTTCAAGGCAGAGCCCCCATCCAGTTCCATTTTCTTCAAAGGCTCACTGCGCTCCTTTGTTCCCTGTACCGGGAAAAGAAATGTGATCCTTTGTGACTCAGTCCAACTCTGAAGGGATTCTGTCCTTCCCTGTTATGAGTGCTGGTAACTGAGTGTGAAGCTCAGAAAGGAAACAACTCCCTTTTTCTTAACTGTTTCAGTTGCCTAGTGGCCTTCAGTGAGAGAAATCAGCCCTGCCATGACTGCGAGAAGGTCTGGTCCACAGGGAAATCCTATGGAGAACACCAGGTGGGCACTGGCAGTGGTGAGAGCTGCGTATCATAGAATCATAGAATCACAGAATCACAAGGTTGGAAACAACCTGCAAGATCATCTAGTCAACCATCCTCCCATCACCATCGCTACCACAAGCACTAAACCATATCTCACAGCTCCTCATCCAGGCACCTCTTGAACATTGCCAGGGACGGCGACTCCACCACCTCCCTGCGCGGCCATTCCAGTGCCCGACCACTCTCTGAGAGAAAAAGTTCTTCCTTATGTCTAACCTAAAACTCTGGTACAACTTGCGGCCATTTTCTTGGGTCCTGTTGCCTGGGAGAAGAAGCCAAACCCCTCCTCATCCCAACCTCCCTTCTGGAAGTTGTAGAGTGCAGTAAGGTCTCCTCTGAGCCTCCTTGAGACTAAACAATCCCTCAGCTGCTCCTCATATGACTTGTGCTCCAAACCCCACACCCTCACCCTCAGGCGTAGAGAAGGATAAGGAGGGTGTTTTGTCCTGTGTTCCTGCACTGAGATGAAAGAGAAAGACCAATTTCTACAACAGGAAGAGGTCCCAATTTCAATTTTTTGGTGGTTTTTTTGGGGGGGGCTTCTGGGGCCATGTTTTGTGCCTGCTTGGATGGGATGCAGCATGTGTGCTGATGCAGAGGTACAGCAGGTAGATATTGCCCAAAGGCAAATGCAACCAGTTGATGCAGATGTACCTGGTAGGTTTTTTACAGAAATAAACACTAGCTTGAGTGTTAACGTGACACAAGGATTATCCAGAATGTGTTCTGTTTTTATCAGACCCTCTACCTAGTGTAGTTAGCCTGTCCTCTTTCCATCACCTCCCTTTCTGCAATGTGCTAACATGAAATGACGAGCTTCTCTCTTCCTTCTCCACATCAGAGTCAGGAGTGCCGAGATCTGCAGTGACAGATGCACACTCACCCGCAGTAGCAGAGCTGCTTCCTGATGAGGCTGTTCCCTCTGTGCATGTAAATCTGGAAGACTGTGTTTCCACATTTCGGAATGGCAGAGTACATAAGATTAGGTGCTGTGAAGCCTGGCCCTCAACCCGCACACAAGTTTTGACCATCATATTTTCACTGATTTTCTCTTACCTTGCCTCTGGCGTCTGAATCTACAGTCATGTCTCTTCTTTGCTGCCCTTATCGGACTTATCAGACCATGAAGACCAATTACTGGTTTTAGTCACTTAATTGTTTTATGAGATTTGGACCACTCAGCTACTCCTGGGACAGATCACTGTACACATTCACGGTGACTTTCAAATACAGGTGAGCACAGCGTAACTTCGTTCACCTCTGGGATCACTCCAAGACTCCAAGTGACAATAGACGACAGAGGAAGTACTAGAAAATTATCACTGGCGTAAATCACTCCCATGAAAATGATGTGCAGGGACTGCTAAATGCAGATTGTCTCCTGCTGGAGATGATTTACCTTTTTTGCAATGTGCTGAGATCTTGCAATGAGAAGGACTGGCTGTGTGACACCATTATAGGAATTCTAATGATAAAGACTCAAGACAAGTAGTGCTAACTTTCTAAGCATGCCCTGTAATGCTGAGAGAAGGTGTGGACTGAAAATTAGAAGTAACAGCTTTTCATGCAAGCTTTTGTAGTAATTTGATAAATAGGTGAGTTCTTTAAGGATTTTATCAACTACAAGAGAACAGAACAGGATTGTTGCCTAATATAATCCCAAAATACATGTCTTAGAGAAATCATCTGAAGCCTGTATGAATCTGAAATCAAATGCACATGGAAGGATTTATTTTGGACTTCTCGCTCACATTTCAGTTGTGAATATGTATCTTTGAAAATTTTCAGTGTTTTCTCTTTGAGAACTGCTTTGGCTGCTATCTGAGAAAAAGGAACATCTGATTTGGGGTTTGACACGTCAGACTAGAACAACAACAAAAAGAGAAGACAAAATAAATAACAAAAAGGGGTAACTCATGGAAGAACACTGAAGAAAATTCTCTCTTCCAAGTGTTTACATTGGCTAGCATCAGAATACCTTGAGAACAGGAATAAGATAAGGCTAAGCTATGGAGCACTGATCTTTACTCAGAGCCATGTGTTGTCTAGCACACAATAGATAAACGACCTCAGAGTTTGCCTAGGATCTATGACTAAAGTGATTAAAAGAGTTGCAGTGACTGCCACAGTCAAACAGTAGTCATTTTGCTGGATTTTGCATTAGCAGTGTTTTGACAGGGGACCAGTTCACAAATGGATATTGTTCTATTAGAAAAGAGGAGGAGAGAAATTCCATGCCCATCCTTACCAGCCAGATTCTTGTGTTAGAACAGCAACAAAACAGGACCTCTTGAAAAGAGACCGGGAAGAAGGGTGTTTGATAGAAACGGTACGGCCCTGCGCTGGAAAGTCCCACGGTGACACCTAGCGACCAGCAGAGCCCAGCAGCCCACCAGCGCCCATCCCTCAGGCTCAGAGACCCAAAAGCCCGACAGGTACAGCAAGCCCCACGAGTGGTTTGGGGCTGGAACTCCACACCCTGAATTTTGCACACCTTCCCTGTTCCGAGTGGCTGCTGTCACTGCAGTCTTTTTCTTCTATTCAAACAAATACATGGACAGCAGAATGTGTTTGAGCACCAAGCTGTGGGAGTGAGATAGTCTTGTGCTTAGAAAAAATGGTACTGAAATGAGTGGAGTCATTCTGCCCTGCTGAGTGAACACAGTCCACTTCTTCCCTCGGGTGTAATGGTAGAAAATGGGCAAGAAAAATCCAGGAGAAGAAGCACAGCTTATGGCAATGCTGTGCTGATACTGGCTATTTGCAAATTGTGGATTGGCTGAGGAAAGAAACTCAGAGCACTTCCCTGCATGTGGCAGGGGGGTTGGAGATTCATGACCCTTGAGGTCCCTTCCAACCCTGGACATTCTGTGATTCTGTAATAGATCAATACTTTGCAGGGAAAAGCAGGCAGAGCTCAGCCTGCTGGTCTGCTGGTTTGTTATTTCTGCCGAGTTCTGAACTATCGCTTGTCCATTGTGCTGCTGGGCCTTCTGGGAAAAGATCCCCAAAAATGCAGGGGCACTCTTTGTGTTGTAAAGAGGGAAGATCTTATGGTTAAGGCACAGGACTTTGGGCATCCTGCTCTCGATCCTGCCCAAAGCTCACTTAGGTGCTAAGAAGAGGTTTGATTCTGACTGTAAAACCTGCCTGAGATGTTTGGTGCTGTGCAATGAGTCAGTGCTTAGTGCCACGGCGGCTGTGCTAATTATTCATTCATAATACTATGAAGGACAGTGAAATTTTCCTTTACTACTCGATCCTGGAAAGCCCACCAGAGTTAAATAAATGCACCCTGAAGAGTTTCAACACAACGAAACGAGCAGTACTGTGTCACTCTTCAGTGAGCACCAGCAGCAGTTCCCCAAGGGCGAGCAGGAGACCTTCCAATGGTGAGCAAGCAGAGCTACGTGCAGCCTGGAAGGTTATTTTGAGGCTTTTTTTTTTTTTTCCTCCAAAATTTGTTATAAAAGTAGAAGCCTCTGTGATAGAATTTGCTTACGCGCTCAGATGCTCACTTGTGTATTCAGACACTTTCCCTTCGCTAGGTGGCAGAAGGAGACGGCTATAAATTCGGAGGATTGCTTTCTAAAAAAAAATATATATATATATA